GGTGTAATGTATGCCTTGGATAACACCAACAAATCATACAATGGTCTACATGTGAATTGTGCTGAACACTACTGACTAACTTTGGGTAAAGAGCACTTGACTTTGACTCACTAACAGGAATTTTTACAAAAGATCTTGCACTAAATGTCAATGCTAATCAATGTCTGCCTTTCTTCCTGTTAGAGTCTGGTTGATAACCATGAAGAAGGACCATTCGTGCTGCAGTTGGACTGCGAGGAGCTGCGCTTCAGAACAGGAAACAAAACCTTCCGCTTCCCTCTGAAGCCCGGAAAGTAGATACATGAAAACCTTGAAGTCCTAAGATTGATAGCTATTTTCTTCTGACACACTAGAGAGCTGGAACACTCAAACCCTCTTAGTATTGACACTGCTGGCAGATATGTGGCAGGTCCAAACAACGACAATCAAGGCTCCCTAGAGGGGTGCAGTGATGTTTTTTTGTAGGCTCCACATATTTACACCACTTCAAGCATAAATTAAATCTGCAGAAGTAAAAAGCTATAGTGAGGCTATAAAGGAGTTACATCACCGTCGCGTGAGTTCACGTCACCATCGCTAAGCTCTAGGCGGCCTATGTTCAGCATAATGACAGTCAGTTGTCTTTTTTTAGTCTGTTTTTATGAAGTTTTGGACATTCAGGAAGTGTAATTATTATTATTATTAAAATGTAAAAATCTCAGCTTGTTAACCACAGACCTTTTTCAGGCATCTCACCAAAAACACGTTCAAAGAAACATTGAGTTTGAGACAAGGAAACTTTAAGTGCTAAAATCCGTACTCATTTACGGGTTTTGAGACTCATCTCTGCACCATTCTATGGCATAAGAATATGCATTGTTTTAAAAAGATGTTTATACATAAAGTTGCTACTGGTTTCTACTTCTTTGCACATGGGATGCTAATGCTAGGAGATGTGATAAGTATGGAAGCCCGTTTGCGCCACAGAAAAGAAAAAAACGTATCCAGTAAGTAATAATTATGAGATAGTAAGCCGAAATAATTAGATGGTGAGTCATAATTTGTGGTGCAAACAGGCTTCCATAGATCAGGGTCCAGAAAGGTGAATGTCACTGAAAATTTTTTTTTGCCGAGAATCATGACGCATGTGTGAGAAGCCTCACATTCAAAGGGTGGAAAGCCACAATGAAGGGAAGTTGTGGACTTTATCAGTATTGAAACCTCAATAGTGGTTCCCAAACAGACATGAACACATGAAGGGAAAAAGTCGTCACTAAATAAAGCTAAAATGACAATTCTATCCGACTACTGTCCTAGAGCACTAAAAGAAAAGTCAAGCTGATATTTGAAATGTTTTACTATATAGAAGGCAACAAAAGTTTGACACATTTATGAGAGTTCATAGCAGAGTATCAGTGGTGTGGCCCTCAGGGGCCCGCATGGCACAGAACAATCACTGGGGCCAGAGAGACTGACTGCTGGTCCACAAGGACAAAACTCTGCACTGGAACTTTTAAAAGAGAAAAATTACAAATGATGAACAGAATATGTCCCTTATTTGTGCCTGTGTAAATCCAGTCCGTGGAGGCACAACATATGTACAGAACCACTTAAAATATACTGTACAGAACATGGAAAGTTAAGAGAAGGAGCTTAATAAAGCAGGTTAAAGCATGCACAAATTGCAACACACTGACTCCAACAAATAGCCTCTCCCTACCTCTCTGTTTTTGGTCATTTAGAAATCAGGAGCAGAATTTGAAATGAATGTATTTGTTTAAACTCTTAAAAAAATCATCAATAGCCCAGGATTTGATCCGATCTCGATTCTTTTTGATTATCTTCGCCTGTACGGTCTAATTAAAGGCAAAAAAAGCAAAAAATCTTCAACAAAAAATATATATTCATTTTTAAATACTCAATAAAAGTAGCTGGTTTTTAATTAAGACTGTGAGATGCGATTGAAGGCTCATAGAAAAGCCAGTAAGTGGACTTTAAAGTGAAAAACTGTTTAACCATGCTATTTGACCTTTGAGTGGCTTCAACCAGACTGAAACCAACTTCCATATCCCAGAAGTGGATCCAGTCCTTCAGCACACGACTCATTTAATCAGCAAACGTCTACTAAAAGCACTGAAACGTAATGTAAGAGAAAGAGCTTAATAAAGCAGGTTAAAGTATGCACAAATTGTAACACACTGACTCCAACAAATAGCCTCTCACTGAAACGTGACTTAGAACTATAGAAAAGCTGTATATGCTTTACAGTTGAGCCTTACAATACATTAAGAGTCAGAAATCTCTTTCACAACATGAATAAATCATCTGACTTTGATTAATAACCTAAGAAAGTGGCACATACAGTATATCCCTGGTTGACTTGTACATACACGTCCTATTGTAGATTTAGTAGGTAAAATCTTGGGTTTAAAAGCTTATTACAATATAAAAGACATTGTATTTAGGATTACTCAAAAGTAAACAACCTGACATTAACATACATTGTATAATTAAAGCTACACTGACATAACTGAGACGTTGACCCTAATTAAATGTATTATCAACAAATGACACATAATTGTATTAGGTTATTTAAAAGCAATAATATTTAAGGTGGGGTAGGTAAGTTTGAGAAACTGGCCCGGCTGTGTATTTTCAAATTCTAGCGCACTCGAGCTGGTTTTTCCAAAATGACCTACTCCACCTTTAAGTTGAACCTAATATCAACTAACCTAATACAATTATTTGTAATTTGTTGACAATAAATTAGTGAGAGACGTGTCACTTCCTGCCAGCATTATGGGGAGAACAGCACATCCTTGATGTAAGCCACGGTGGTGAAGTTCAGCAGCATGTCCACGTGCTCGTTCCCGTCGAGCTCCTTCAACATCACGGGCTGTTTCTGCCCCCCCACCCAGCGGCCACACTGCGTGGCGCTCTGCAGGTTGACCGTCCCGTCCCCGTCGCTCATCACCACCGTGGGCTCCACGTCGGGGAACTTGTCGGTGTACTGGAAGCTGGCCTGTGTGGGGATGCCACTGCCGTACAGGCAGTGGACGGCCACCCCGGGGGGGCTGAGGTCGGCCACCAGTGGCTCTGTGTCCTGCCGCATCATCCAGCCATCCTCAAAGTCGATGTCCTTGTAGAGGCGCTGGTAGTCCAGCACGGTGTAGTTGGTGGTGGGGGTCTGCACCAACACCTGGTGATGGATGGAGAAACATAACTGTTGCTCAGTGCTTTTGCTCAGATTTTATATGTATGTATATTTATATAATTACCTCTATGATTTTGCCCTTGTGTTTTACTATGAATTGATAAAGGGGAAGCACTTGGATTACATTAAGAGGACATATCTAAGACCCCTTTATATATCACTGTCTTGGAATCAGCTTAATCTTACTCTAAATATTATATATTGTTGGGTTTTTTATACCCCATTAATATGATTTATTACGATTTATTTTTCACATAGAAAATAAATTATCTGGCTTTATAGCTAAGTGCTTCACTATATTCACCAGTAAGTTGCTAACTTCTGTGAGCTTTAATTATAAATAAAGCTTTGAAGTTTCCAATGCTATACTGAAAAACCGGAAAGCCAAGACAGGTGGCCAAAAACCCCACCTGATCTTTGGTCCAGGAGTGGGCGTAGGGCAGCAGCCAGGAGGTGGAGACAGCAGAACGTTGTTGGGAGCGAATCTTCAGCGGGCTGATCACCGGGATGCGGTTATTATCACCTGCAGGAACAGAGAAAAGAAACCAGTGACAGAGAAGTGAAACTGACCATAAAGGAGAGTTTTACTGTGTGGCTTCCTAAAAAAAATGTACCAACACACAGGAGCTGATGTAACTCTCCTTTAAGCAACAGGGTCCGACTATAAAGTAAACTTATAGAGGAACAACGGCTGTTTCCTAATCATTTGAAACAGCACTCATTAACTTCCAATGAGAAATATGTAAACGTTTGAGGGTCTTTACTGTCCAGTAATGATCGCATAACATAAGGTGTTAGATTAGATAAGACCCCAGGTAAGCAAAACAGTTTCCACAAAGCAGTTCTATTTCTTACCAGAGATGAGCACCCGGAGGGTCTTGGCCACCCCGGCCCACGGTGATCCCAGAGAGATGAATGCTTTGATGTATCGGTCCTTCCAGGCCTGTGGCTGCTGGTTGAGGAAGTACAGGGTGTACATGTTGCCCATGCTGTGAGCGATGAGCACCACGGGCCCTCCTGCCTTCTCCGCCATCTCTTCAATCATCTTCTGCAGCGCCAGGAAATACTCCTTATTTTCATCTGAGAAAGGACACACAACAAAGAAGATTAGTAAACAAAGTTCCCCCACTAGCTGTGGAAGTCCCGGTATTTTCATTTTTAGGTTGGAGCACCTCCAACACTTGTTTTATTACTTCCTGGTATGCAGATAAAGGGCTGCAACAAGAGTGTGACAGGTCAAATATTTGGCCCGATAGAGGAAATTCCATTCTGATTTCACTGCCTGAAACACCTCTCTCAAAATAAAAGGACAAAAGTCCATGAAGGTTTCTCTAATTTCCCCTCCTCGACTCCTCGGTCCTCCGGTAGTGACCCGGAAATGGATTTCAGCGTGCCATGTTGAAGGACATCTCATTTCTCTAAATGCACTTCGAGGATCGAGCATCGAGGAGGCTCTCTGGAGGAGCTATAAACGCGGATCCTGCGCGGATGTATTTCCGGCAACAGTGATGTTTCAAAGAGTCGTGACGCACGGCCGGACTTATCTCAGCCAATGACAGCTCTGCATGCATCCCCTGGATATTATTTTAGTAACTGCTTTAATCACGACGCGATGTTTCCAGAGAGAACAGCTGTGAGGTCCGTGCAGAAAGCAGAGCAGTGTGTAAAATATATATCACTCAGTATAACAGGCCTGCATTACTCTCTGTATTGTGTAAGGGGCTGAGAGGCAGGGTAGTGGGAGGCACCTACATTCCCAACAGGTGGCTCCACCCTCTTCCAATTAGCAAGAGCAGGTGTGGAGACCTCACACCTGGTGCTAATCACTCCCTCAAGGGAGACAAAGCACACAGAGTTGCTCAGTTGTGTGTGGCACATGGAGGCTCCCAGTGTAAGGAAACGTTTTGGAAAGCTGGTAAGTCGGTTAGCGGCCTCTTTTTGGATTTGAACACTGCACTACCTCTTTATCTGCCCAGTCCTGTTACAATTGGTATGTTATTGGTTTAGTTTAGTAGATATCTACAAACAAAGAGTAGATATTTTTCTAAAACAATTTAGTGCTTCACATAATAAAATACACAACGGCTGTAGCCTGATATTTTATATGCTTTAGTGGCTGTGTGTTTGTGCGAGCGTGCACAGACGGGTTTCAGTTGGTTTGGTGGCCCGTAATTTCAATTCCTCATTGTAGCGACCAGAGAGGGGGCTATATCCAGTGTCTGATAGTGTTACGTTATTATGAGAGTGCTCTCATACTTGTATGATTCTGAAATTGTATATTTATATAAATAAATGTGTGTGTGTGTGTGTATATATATGTCCGCATCTGTAGCCTGTTATTGTCTCATTATACCGCAAGACACAAGGATAGGAGTCGAGGAGGGGAATTAGAGAAATTAGAAACCTTCCGGCTGGACCAGTTGTTTTTGTTTGGTTTCCTCCTAATGTACAAAGACATTCACACTGACTTACAAAATTGAAAGATGTGAATGTTTCTTAAACCAATTAACATGCCTGCTAAATGATTTAAAGGTCACCTATCATGCTATTTTTAGGCAATAGCATAGGTCTCAGATATATAAAAACATGTCTATGAAGTCCTTTGCTCAAAATACCAAACGGATCACCCATGCCTCATATCCCCCTATTTCACTTCCTGTTTCAAAAGTGCTGATTTTGGGTATAAAGGTTAAAAAAAATAATCATGGATTATCAAGGATTATTTCTCAAACAGTATGGAGCTTTCTCTCTTGCCGGTTATACCACAAGGTGAGTTCCTTTTTATTTCCTGCTTCTTCACACACACAGGCCATTTCTCAATCGCGAGGATGCTTGCTTGGTAGCACATGTCTTCCGAGTCACTTGCTTCAGAAGCGAGGCAAGAATCCTTCCTGGCATTTGGAAAACGAAGAGTGGAACAGGCTAGCAAGTGTGCAGGTGTGCGTCATATCATATGAGAGGCCCCGCCTTACATTTTACGCCACAGATTTGGGGAAATTGGTCCGTGCGCAAAGCATTGTGGGGATTTTAAGGAGGCGAAGTCTACCCATGTGCAGCCTCGAAATTACCCCCAAACCAAGGACGCGGCCTCGGTGGAATTCCAAGTATGCTGGAGATTGGAACAGTCCTTCGGCGGCACTCGATGACGTAGTATCCTTGAAATAGTGGCTTGGAAGCCGGTTTCCTCGAGATTGAGAAACAGCCATGCTCTCCAGTACAGGTTAGCTCTGAGTGTTAGCAATGTAAACATACACCGACCATATTACGTCCAAAACAGTCTGGCATTGCTTCTGATAGCAACGTTTCTGATAGTGCTGTGGGTCTGCATTGCTGATATGACGTCATATCTTACGCAAATCTGGATCAGCTCCGTTGTACTCTCGTTTTTAGAGATTTGGGTACGGAGGAAAAGAGAGAGGGTTTTATTTTCTGACGCTGCGTGAGTTCCCTGGCACACCGGGGACACATTTATGCATAAAAGACATCAAAAAGTGTATTTTGCAAGATGGGTCCCCTTTTTAAAGTAGTGATTTTCGCCTCAATGCACAGAACACAACTTAAAGGGTAGGACAATATTGGAGTGCTTAATTTGAGAGATTAAAATAGAATAATTAATGCTCAAAACATATTTTTTGCATGATCCTATTTTTAAGTTTTGAGTATTCTGTCAAGCATTTGGTCCAGTTTTTTCTAGATGTTATGTGTCTGTCTGGGAAAAATATATATATATATTTAACTTAATACAAAAACATGCATGTGAAATATGGGACTAGCTATTATTTGTTAAACATACTTCTCCCACATTAAAAGAACGGCATGCCTCTCCGCAGCTGGCTCGTGATCTGCAGGGATAGTTTCATGCACCAAAATGTGCGAAAAGCAGACATATCAGAATGGTAAGCTTAGTTAGCATTTGTTATTTCTCCATGTAGTTTGTTAGCTTGTAACTAGCCTTAGTAGAAACAGCAGTAATGGTTGTTTAACATACAGTGGGGCAAAAAAGTATTTAGTCAGCCACCAATTGTGCAAGTTCTCCCACTTAAAAATATGAGAGAGGCCTGTAATTTTCATCCTAGGTATACCTCAACTATGAGAGACAAAATGAGAAAAAAAAATCCAGAAAATCACTGTCTGATTTTTAAAGAATTTATTTGCAAATGATGGTGGAAAATAAGTATTTGGTCAATAACAAAAGTTCATCTCAACACTTTGTTATATACCCTTTGTTGGCAATGACAGAGGTCAAACGTTTTCTGTAAGTCTTCACAAGGTTTTCACACACAGTTGCTGGTATTTTGGCCCAGTCCTCCATGCAGATCTCCTCTAGAGCAGTGATGTTTTGGGGCTGTCGCTGGGCAACATGGACTTTCAACTCCCTCCAAAGATTTTCTATGGGGTTGAGATCTGGAGACTGGCTAGGCCACTCCAGGACCTTGAAATGCTTCTTACGAAGCCA